CCAACTATCCCACACTCTACCCACTGAGAGGATTTTCCTTTCTCCAACATTCCATTAGGACCTCCCTAGAGAAGCGTATAAGGAGCCCTGGTGGAACAGTGGTTAAGTGCTCAGCTGCTAACCCAAAGGTTGGTGGTTTGAACCCACCAGCTGCTCCATGGGAGAAAGATGTGGCAGTCTGCTTCCCTAAAGATTACAGCCTTGGAAACCCTATGGGGCACTTCTCCTCTGTCCTATGTGGTCGCTATGAGTCATAATCGACTCAATGGCATGCAACAACAGAGAAGCATATTAGAGAACAGTCCTTTGCAGAGCTATACCACTTCAGCAGTGCAATTTTAGCTGTGCTAGATCAAATAATAGAAATCAAACATTGCCATTCAGCTGCTTACAACAGAAATGCATTCATTCTTTGCCTGGCATGTTTAAGCACACACCAATGCTGGCACAGTTGCCGTGGACCTGCTATATGCCATTCAACAGATCATATACCTCATTTAAACTTGCATTAGGCCTTTTAGTTACCAGGAGTAGAGGGGGGCACAAGGAAAGGGGAGTTCATTAGGAACATCTTGGAAATACAGAAAAGAGAAATTTAGCCCATTTCTCCTGGGAACATGAGAACTGCTACAGAGCAGGCTTCACAGGGTTGGAAGCTTATTTGAAAGCCAAGGCAGCTCTAGCAACTCATTACTCTTCTCTATTAGGTATAAATCCTTATTTTCACAACAAGGTAAAGAGGAGTTAGCAGAGGGTTGGAAATCTCTGAAATAAAATAAAAGGGTATAAATTAAGAAGAGAATTTAACTATTCTCTCATCGTTTTATGTCTTAAAGACACTGGGAAAGAGGCCCAAATGTGAAGTATCTAGAGTGCCTAGAAGTTGATATTGATAATATACACACTCCTGCAGTTGAAAATAACTAAAACACAATGGCTGATAAAGTTTATTATTGGCAAAGTGGTACTGAGCTACTGCAAGGTGCTTAAATAATCTCACTGACATGCACGATGATAGGCACATAGCAGGAATTAAGAACAAAAAACGGGAATACTGAGAATCGGTAACTTCAGAAAGAAAATATCCTTTATGCAACTAAATGATGATATGTGTACTTGGGGACTATCTTGAAGCACACATGCAATTTAATTCATTAAACAAATACTTATTAAGCAATGACTGTATTCTAAGCACCTAAAAGTTCATATGTTCACAGGGATATCAAGATCATGCAGAAATATGACTTTGCCTTCAGGAATGCATCCCACGTCATCCGAAGCTACCTCTATCACAGCATTTACGTTATATTGTGATCATCTGTTTCCTTGTTTGTCTTCCCCAAGAGGCTGCAAGTTTCTCAAGGGCAGGGACCTCACTTTATCTTTGTATCTGTCTGATGTCCACAGTAGGATCAGTGTCTGATATATACCAAGATACCAATTGCCACAGAGTGGATTCCAACTCATGGGGACACCATGTATGTCAGAGTAGAACTGTGCTCCCTAGGGTTTTCAATGGCTGATTTTTGGGAAGTAGATCGCCAGGGCTTCCTTCCCAGGTGCCTCTAGGTGAACTCAAAAGGCCAACTTTTTGGTTAGCAGTCAAGCGCGTTAACCATTTGCACTACCAGCAGGGACTCCTGGATTCCTGTCTGGTATATAACCAAAAAAAAATCTATTGCCCACCCTATAGGACAGAGTAGAACTGCCCTGATAGGGTTTCCAAGACTGTAAATCTTTACGGAAACAGACTGCCACATCTTTCTCCCACAGAGCTGGTGGGTTCGAACTGTCGAACTTTCGGTTCGCAGGTGAGCACTTAACCATTGCACCACCAGGGCTCCTTGTCTGATATATAAAAACCAAACCTGTTGCTGTCGATTCCAACTCACAGTAACCCTAAAGGACAGAGTAACCCTGTTCCATAGGGTTTTCAAGGAGTGCCTGGTGGATTCGAACTGCTGCAATTTGGTTAGCAGCTGTAGTAGCTCTTAACCACTACACCACCAGGGTTTCCATCTGATACATAGCAGGGGCTAAATAAAATATTCCTTGAATTAAAAAAAAATGACAGAATGGAGAAATGGGGTTTCTCCCTTTCTTTTTGGTGCCCATACTTAACCACTTTTTAAAAAATATTTTGTTGTGTTTTCGGTGAAAGTTTACATAGTAAATTAGGTTCCCATTTAACAATTTTTATACAAATTGTTCCACGGCATCGGTTACATTTTTTACCATGTGTCAACATTTTCATTATTTCCATTCTGTTTCCATTAACCTAGCTTCCCTATCCCTCTTTCTCCTGTCATCTTTCTTTTAGGGTGAATGTTTACTGTTTGGTCTCATATAGTTGATTATTTAAGAGAGCACAGTATTCACAGGTGATATTCTTTATAAGTCTATTATTTGGATGAAAGGTGACTACTGGGAGGGGCTTCAGTTCCAAGTTCAAAGGGTATCTTAGGGTGATAAAGACTTACACTTTCTAACAAACTTGTTTACTTTTTGTTTTGTTTTTTGCCTGTCTACCGCTGGACTATAAGCTCCGTGAGAGCAGGGATCTTTGTTTTGTGCACTAAATGTCTTCCAAGTGGTACAAGCGTCCAAAACATATCCAATAAACATTTGTCAAATGAATGATTATTTTGTTGTAAAGACTGCCAAGAGGGAGAATTTCTGGCATTTGACCTGATAACATCTCCAGTGCCTCTTTAGACATTCCTGAGATTAGCTGAAATCTTGAAATACACATCTGATTATTCTGGCTCTACTGGAGCATCTTTAGTCATAGTCCTCTATAGTAGGATTTAGCAACTATTTAGAGATCTTCCTTTTTCCTGCAGGAGCATATGTTAGCTTCCCTTCATGGAAGGAGTGGGAGGTAGGTGGATGGCAACTTACCAGGATACCAATTTTTGATAATAATCATCTGTTGTCGCCCCAGCCCACGAGGGAGCCAATCTCCTCACATTCCTGGCTCACAGAAGTGAAGAGATCCCTGACTGTAGGCCTCCCACAATCCACGGAAGTGGCAGTCAAAGCAGGCCCCCACTCCCGGACAAGTCTGACGGAACCAAGAATCAGCGTGTAGCCCAACACAAAGGAACCCAATGGCTGTCTAGAGAGCTTTCTTGAGATTTTGAAATAAAAGATTAAGAAGTCAGTCAATACTGGGATAGGAAAAAGCCCGATACATATTACATGGCAGGGGCATCTTTAATGGTTGTTTGTTAGCTGCTGTTGAGTCGAATGGAGATCACGTGTTTGCAGAGTAGAGCTGCTCCTTAGGGTTTTCAAGGCTGTGATCTTTCAGAAGTAGATCACCAGCCCTGTCTTCCAAGGTTAGAACTGCCAAACCTTTCAGCTAGTAGTTGAATGCTTAACCATTTGCAACACCCCCCTGGACTCCTCTTAAACTGTAGAATTCTAGAATGCAGATGAAGGAATTCCTACTACTGGGGCCCTCAAAGCTGTACTAATAGTTTAGCTTTTCTGGAGTTTCCTAATACTTATTTGTATAACTCTTTGCCTTTCTATGAGCTAACTTGTGGAATATCCTGTTCCTTGTAACCAAAATACAGCCTACTATGCTTGCCCCTGAGAACAGAAGAACTCTTACCCGAAGGTCAATCCTACTGCCACCGCGTGTCATTAATTGAACAGTATTTATTGACTGCCCTTCATTTTCTGCCCCAGGTGCACCCACGCAATCAGGCCACTTTTTGCAGGTGCACTACAGTCAAATAGTCCTTGTCCCAGGTGGCTTGTTTTCTTCCCTACACTCGGCCTCTTGTTTTGGTTGTCTTCATTTGGCATCCTGTATTGGACACGGTTTTAGTTTACCTGGCTCTGTACTGGCACCCCCTCAAGGTACCCATAACAATTTCCTGTTAATTCCACGTACCCAACCTTGGATGAGAGACTGTTCCTCTTTGAGGCCCATCCTACAGTCAGTCTCATTTTTTAGTTTTTTTTTTTCAGTACTCTATTATTTTACTGTTCTTTAGGTGGAAGTTTATAAAGCAAATTAGTTTCTCATTAAACAATTAATACACAGATTGTTTTGTCACATTGGTAGTCTGACTTTTCTATTCAACTCTAACAAGATCATCCCTCCTCAGAGTGGACAAACCCTCATCAGAGTGGACAAAAAGAAAGATGGCCTATCTCTGCTGCTTTTATTTGTATGGTGAGCTAGAACTTTCTGTCAGCGCTGTGAGTTTAGCTGCAAAGAGAAGTAAAATCTAAAGTGCTATTCTGGTAGGGGAAAATCACGATCCATTACTTGAAACATCAGTGTTTACGGTCTCAGCGTGTTAGCAGTGGTGTGTCTTGTTAGGTGTCCACTAGGGTACATACAGAAATGTGTTATTTCCGACCTTAACCCTGACATATTAGGCCTTGGGAGCATGTACACCACCTGACGATACTGAGCAAAAGGGCCTGCTGAGAGAGAGACTTCCAGTGCCACCTGCAGACTCCAGAAGGGAGTGAAGCCAATGGCCCACTAAGTCGCTGAGTTGTGCCTCCCTGCCCAGGACCCTGAATAGAAAGAACAGGTTCTGTAGGTTCAATTCTGGGAAGGCTTCAAATGCTCCAGTTGTACGATTTTCCGGAATAAAATGATAGAACTCAAGCCCACCTAATGCTGATTGTACTAATTTTTTTTTTCTGTGTTCATAGCATGTTAAGTTTATTCATGAAAAACAAACTGAATACTTTTTAAAATTCAACATTTAATGGAACCACTTCATATAGTCAGCAATGGAAGCTCAGATATGCAAACTGGAATAAACAGAAAGAAATACTATGCATATATGTCTGTATACATTGACATGAAAAGATAATCCAGGATATTTAAAATGCAAAAATCAAGTTACAAAACAATGAGTAAGAGTCTACTGTTAAAGCAATTAAATACTGTTTCTTTCTAAGTTACATATTCATAGTGTTATTTTTGCAATTAAGTATTTTTTAATAAAAAACAGCAAAATTAATAATAATGTTCAAAACACATTTATTTACTAAATCACTTCGTGGTTGATATTACATAAGATGATTTCAACAAATAAAATGTTTAATGAAAGACTGGTATACAATGTACTTGTTTCTAGAAAAAAGCCTTACTTACAAGTTGAAGAACAAACATATGCTCTTCATTAAATGTAAGTTTTAGAACAACATTCATTGTACAGTATTACCATAGTAAAAATTTATCTTCCAATAGCTCAAGTATCCAGTGAAATATTCAGAGTTAAACCATTTTTTTTTTCAATCATATTCAGAAAATCTAATGTGTTTACTTGCTTGTTGAGTCTTTGCCAGTCTAATCTTCTCAGCTTTGGTGATTAACTACAGAGAAAGATAGCAGAAATCAGAATGCTTTGGATACTCAAAAAGGAAAAGATAATTATGACTAGAAAAATCTCACAATTATTAGCTTGAATGCTATCTGAAAAGGAGGAGTAAGGGAGACTAATAGTTAAGTTCAGGTCAAATCAATTACAGACAGCACTGTCTAGATTACGGCTTATTAAGTACAATGGATATTAAATCTTTGAATTATGCAAAACTCCCCACTTTAGTTCTACTTACTAAAAATCTTTCAATTATTAATAGTCACTACGCATTGGTAATTTTAAAAACTTTTTAGGAGGGTCCAGGACCCATATTTGTTTGTTATTTTATACTCCCCTGGGTATTAGTATTACCAAGACATTTCTTAAATAATTATATTGTGCTTGTTAATTTATATTTTGGGCTGAGCGCTCTGTGAAGTTTGCTTATAAATGTGAATTTAGAAAATCAAAAACATTCCGAACAAGGATAAAAGCTATTTACTACTTATTGCATCCTCTCATAAATTTTTGGATATTTTTTAATGAAATCAGATGAAATTATATGGAACTAAAAAAAAAATCATTTAAAATGTCTTAAATATTCCAAAAGCTTCTCCGATCGAAAAATTTAAAATATCTTACTTTGGAGTAAATGCAAATCTTTCTCTCTTAAAAATGTAGATTCAATGAGTATTCATTAAATTAGTTTCTCTAAGTGTTTGGTGCCATTAAGATCCTGTACTTTCAAACGTTTCTATTTATGAAACAAATACTGCTAAAGACAAGCCTGATCGTGCAACAGGTAAAAGGTGAGGAAAAGAACTCTCCAACACAATGATTGTTGTTATCGTTAGTTGCTGTCCAGTCCATTCTCGCCCATGGCGACCCCATAGTGTCTTCAAGGCTGTGTGACCTTTGGGAAGCAGATCTCCAGGCCTGTCCTCCGAGGCCTCTCTGGGTAGGCTGGAACCCGCAACCTTTCAGCTAGTAGTTGAGCAGTGAACCATTTGTGCGGCCCAGGGACTCCAAAACGGTAACAGAGCAACTCACTGTGCTCCAACTCAATGTATACAACTCCATAGCCGATGTTTATTTCCTTACCTCCGATTTAATTTTCAAAGATAGAATCTTGCTAAATTTCTAAAAGGGGAACAACTGTTAACTCCTAGTTTAAAAAAAAAAATTTTTAAAAAAAAAAATATATATATAAAATTTCAGTGAAATTTCACGCCAATTACAAGTATTATTTAACAAACTAAGTTAATTTCACAGTTACCAGCTCTTGATTAATGATTTTAACATTTAAATAATCTCAAGCAGTTTGAAATTAACACCTCATAGACCTGAAAGAGTCCTTAGGAAGGAAGGAGGCCTCCCCATCTCAGCAAGTTCTTCTCTATTCATGAGAACAGAATTAACAAAGACCAGTAGGAAAATCCTCTCCCAACCCCCTACAAGTTCTCTTAAATTCCAAAGAATCCCAGGTGATAGAGGGCTGATTAAAGACATCTGATTTTTAAGTTAAAAATAAAATAAAATTATATATATATATATATACACATATACAAATATGACCCCGAAATCAACAAACCTAGAATACAAGCATACCTTTTAAATTGCTAACCAAGCATAAAAAGATGCATATTATTTTAGATTTTTCTGACTTTTATAACATAAAATTTTAAATTAGTTATTATGTGCCCTATTTTGTATTAACCTTTATATGTATAATAATTTGTTTTTAAAGAATAAACTTGACAGCCAAACTAGCCACAATCATTATTTTATAAATTACCCAGTATCATTTTATACTGACACAAAAATAAAATTAGTGAACAAGGAGCTTGCTTTGAACTGTTTAATTTGCTTAAGTTTGTTAATAATGCTTGTTGACGCTCCAAGAGAAAAAGGCATTAAGCTTATCATTTCTATAGGGAACATTATGCATGGTCTCTCAATCTTATCTGTGGAGCCACATATCTTTATAAACTACACTCTAATACATTATGTTTTTACTCTTAAGACAATTTTCAAATAATCATTACACTACCATCAAGCTACCAAACACAGCAGTCAGAAATCAAGACTTTAACTTTGAAGTACATCAGTAGTTAAAAAAAAATAAATAAATAAAAATAAAAAAGTAAAACAACTCTAAATTAAACTTATGTACCCTTTTGGGGAAAATAATTTAATTTCATGCATTTTGAGATCTAGATAAATGATAGTCCCTACCAATCTAAAACACAGTATATACTCTGTAAATCTTTGTTGTTGTTAGGTGCTGTCGATGACTACATACTCCTATTGGAAGAAACTGATCCTCCAAAACTTTTAGGCTACAAAAAGAGAAAACAAATACGAATTGATTACCTTCTCGGTGCCTCTTTTCTTTTCCCGAGGCTGATTAAGTTTGGCCTGCCTGTCTACCAAAATCTTCTGCCAATATCGCTGTTCATGATCACCTTAAAAACAAACAAAAACGTTAATTACCAAACACGAAGACACAAATGAAGAAACATATTCAAGGCATTACATCTCAATAACTGAACTAGAATAGTTACTTTATTATATATAGTATTTACATATTAAGAGTATAAAAGCAAAATTACTAATTTCATGTCAAAGTCAGACAATGTAACACAATAACCTGCAATAAAAATTGTTGAAAAAGAAGTTTCTATGAATTTTACCAGAAAGGACCTCGAGTTTCCAGCTGTGCTTCTTTTTAATTTCCGTGTATGCATTTATTACTGCTTGAGCATCCCCAGGAGTCTTAAATCTTACATGGCATTCTGTATCTCCTTCTAGCAAATCAACATAAACAACTTCTGAGATCGCTGCCAAAGTATCCTGTATTAGAGTTCAGTAGAAACACTTAAAATAAATAATAAAAATGTTTCATAATAATCATAAAATTATCCTAAAGGTTGCATCAGAATGTACTATCCAAGTAAGCCACTGTGAAACCTAAGTATATATCATATATCTAACATTTTTTAAAACTACACAAAAATACTCTGAAAAACACACTTGGAAAAAGAAGACAGTCTATTTAACATTAACTCTATAATCATAATTTACTTTCGTTACACCTTAAAATCTGAATGAGAATATGAATATTCCATAAGGACAACAGATTTGTAGAGCACAATGTACAAATACTCCCCACCTCCCCTCCTCTCCCTAAAAGAGTTCTCAGTCTTAGAGTAGTAAGTTGGGAGAGAGAATTTTTTTTTTTTAATTGGAGAAGGTATTTTTACTTGTGGTTGTTAGTTGCTGTCAAATCAATTCCTACTCAAGGCAGCCCCTTGTGCAGAGTAGAACTGCTCCATAGCGTTTTCAAGGCTGTGACCTTTTAGAAGCAGATCGACAGGACTGTCTTCAGAAGCACCTCTGAGTGGGTTTGAACCGCCAACCTTTCCCTAGGAGTCAAGCACTTAACCTTTGCGCCCCCCAGAGACTCCAAGTTCTTACTTACCTGTACAAAAATCACTTATGACTTGAAATATACATGAAAGTGTTCAACTTTTTATAAAAAGCCATGAAAAAAAGCTTAATAAAACCCACCAAAATCCTAAATTCCCCAGTGGATCAAGTAGAACACAGCTTAAGAGGTATTATTTTCTGATAAAATACCAAAGGAACCTCGTCTGAACAAGTTGTCATCAACCAGCAGGGAAAATTTTACTTATAATGCCTGCAGTGATGGCAAATTAAGAAGATTCCTACATTCCTAATCAGTTTTTTCTTCACAGCAGGTTCTAAAAAGCATATAAAGCCTCTATGCAGGAATGTTACAAATTCTTAATTCATCAACTTCCATTCATAAAGCTAAAAAAAAAAAATAACTAATTCCCATCTGAAAAAAGGAGTTTTATTAATTTCTCCTCCCTTTTGGGTTTTACTCCCTTTTGGAGGACACAACTAATTTAGATTACTTTTAGATGTAGAATTTTTAGATCTTTGAATTATGGAAAAATTAACTGAGCGATACTTAGAATTATTTTACTATAGAACAAGAAATGTTTATTTAGTTAATAATAAAGACTATCTAGCAAAAATCTGTACAACTCTAGAAGACAAGGACAAGGTCTTAATTCACCCCAACATTTAGCATCAGAAAACAGGTGCTTATTAAATGTTAGCTAAATCAAAATAAATTAACTGGAGAAAAATATACATGACAATTCTTTCCATTTCTCTACTTAGTTAAACAATACTAAATTTAGAGACAAAGAAAAAAAATCAGTATTAAACTGAGGAAATCTGAACGTATTCACTAGTAGTAGTGAGAGTTTTGTAACCGATTTGTCAAACAGATTAGACTGCTACAACTCAGAAGATATTTACTAAATATCCATTATAATGTCAGGCTAATCTCCTGTTTTAAAACCCTTCTAAGAATGACAAATTAGCCTGGTAATCACAAGGACAAGTCACAGACAGCAGTAACCACCATCATAGCTCAGTTTTTGTTCCAGCAAAATGTAAGTAACTATTATAGTGGAGTTATTTTGTGATTTCGATTATCATAAACAATTTGTAATTGATGTAATTACTATTTAGATAATAAAAACTTTTTGATAAATATAACTAAACCTATGTCAGTGATTCCAGATAACAAGTTTTTATTAATTTTTCCATTAAATCTTTTGCATTCTAACTAAGCACGGCCAACACTCATGTCCCTCAATTTTTCAGCTTTCTTATCCGGAATTCTACATTGGTACCACACTCTAAAATGCAAACTGGTGGGACTAGCCAAATTCCTCAACAATATGGGATAGAGAATTCAAAATCTGTTTTATTGACAGCTACAAGATTTGAGGACAGGGTTTCATACAAAGAGTGCATGCAGATGATCACAGTGAGCAAACACCTCAATGCTTACTTAAGTTTAAAAAAGTGACTGGTTTATGCAAAACCAAACCAACATGCTACACAGGCTTATCAGTATAAAAGAATTCTAAAAATTTTGGTATAATATAGATGAATACTTTACATGGTTAAAAAATAGAGTGTCTCACCTAAACGTCTGACAGGGTGAGAGTAAATAAGATACGGTACTCTTACACAAAGCAGTATGACACAATTAATAATAAGAAATAGCACTGTATGTGTTGATGCAAAAGTCTATAGAAAATAAATTGTATACAGTGAAAAAAGAAAACTGTAGAACACTTATGTAGGAAACTGTAGCAATCTGTAGTTTAAATCATGTAGAATAGTGGATTTATTTGCACATGTATGCAAAATTTTGTAATTTTTAAAAATACTTTATCCATTTCAGCAACTGTTTTTCAAATAAGTTTGCATAATGCTGTTTACAATCAATCAACATGGACTGAAAACATTTAACCAAAAACTAAAAAAGTGAAATAAAAAAAAAAAGCCTCTTTCCTCCAAAAAACCCTACACTTCAGGAAAATATGTTTAATCTTAAATAGGATTAACAAACAATAAATTAGTGTTAAGTGAAAAATATGTATAATCCCTGTTTATGCCAAGAGTAGTTTTGACCTTTTTTTAAAAAGTAATTACATAAGTCTTCTAAGAATCTACTGAAATTTAAGAGCTCTACTGAAAACTTACAGATTCTCTAGTTTGCTCCCAAACCAGACAATATCAGATGATTAAAATTTAAAAGTAATGCCAGACCAACTATAATGCTGATTACATCTTCAAAAAATCTGGTGCTGCTTTTCTAAAATTCATTTTCACTGAAAATAGAAAAACGTCCCCCCAAAAAATATCAGGGAAACATTTTACTATATCTTTTAGTTATAAATGTCATTGTAGTTCTTCATGCAACTACATGGCAGCCAACAATTAGAGGCACCAATAAATACGAGCATAAACTTTAATTTTCCTATAGAAAAGGATGTTTAAACCGTACTCACTGTAAATTTGATCCACTGAGAAATTTCGGTCTTTAGATTTTGCTTCAAGTTAAACCTAATGGTTACTACAGAATCAAAAAGCTACTAGAAGTTTACTACAGAAGTAAAAATTCTGATTTGCTTAATTTTTCCATATTCAGAACATTTTTACACAGAAGAGTTACTAAGAGGAGAGAGTGACAACTACCCTGGGGGCTCATAGGCATTACCCGGACTTGTTTCCTGCCAGGTAGGGGCTCTGCGCTAATGATCTTCACAATCACTCCACTCACAAACTGTGGTCCCATAGCATTAACCTCCTGGGGGCGACATTCTTCACTGTTGGCTATTGATTTGAAAAGGAAAAGACCAGATATAAATCTCTTACATTTAACAATTTAACACTTAGGGGGACCGCTTTACGATAACAACAATAATTGATTCCTTGATTTCTTAGCCTGATTTAAATCATTATATTATCGTATTATATTTCATACTGTTAATTTCAGATTACAAATGGAATAAAATAATTTTATTCCTCTAAACTCAAAACTTAATGTTAGGAGAGCATTTGTAAACCACTCCCCCATAAAAAGGCCTTCTTCCTTGAACCAAGTAACAAAGTAAAGAAATAAACAGGAATAAGATACTATCATAACATTCTATTACTTTATGACTTAAAAGTGAACATCTATTTTGACAAGTTATAGGAACTTAAAACATGTCCTAATATTGAATTCACAAGAATCTTGCTTTAATTAGTTCCTGTTTGGGGTTCACTCTATAGCATGAAACGTACAGGTGAGGAATTACAATCTTTATTCCTACAAACTTCTTCATCATAAACAAGACAATAGATATTTACAAAATCTGATTAATAAAGAAAACTACAGAGAAAACTGATTAATTAAAAGAGATAGTATTTAAAATTTGCCCTTCAAATATTCTAATATCAAGAAATCACACATCTGGACAACTTAACAAATTAATGATTTTTCTAATAAGGACAATTTTGTAATTAAGTTTTTTAAAAACTTAGAAATACCACTTGATATGTAAGTACCATATAACAAAGTAAAAGCTATCATAAAGATTTTTACTTTTTTCATTTTTCATTCCAGATTTATTAGGTTCGCCATGATCTGTTTCCATTTCTGACTCTGATTTTATTTGGGATATTGTTTTTTTTAAAGAGGCCATGCTGGCTTTTTGCAAAGCTAAATACTCCTTTTTCAAATCCATCCATTCACTCCTGTAAAAGTGGGGAAAAAAAGAAGCTATTAAAATACGGACAATAGATGACTAAATACACATACACAAGAAAATAAATCTAATTATATGCATTCAAAGTGACTTGCAACCACTCCTCCCCACAACTTTTCTTTAATATCTATACACTCAAATTATTTCCTGGGTTCTAAGTCCATCTAGCTTGTTTGTTTAGGGGAGTTCTGCTTGTCTCAACATTCAGATTAAATGTTTAAATTTGCAATGTTTAAATTCTTGAGTGTGCTTCAAATAATGGAATTTATGAAAGGAAAATTTAGAATTTATTCATTAATTAGCTAGTAAAATTTACTAGAATCATCAATTATTATTGGGGGAAAAATGAAAGATTAAAATGTACAGATTATTTGTGAAACAGCTTTCAATGAGAGATAACACTCCTTAGTATTTACTTGAATCAAAAGGAATTTCTAAGAAGAAAAAAACACCCCACGGAAGTAATTTATTTATTTACATGCATTTAACATGTGGATGTTTCTGCAAACAGCTAGAGCCCCCCCAGATAGAAACACAATGCCTCTACTGGCTCCACAGGAGCACTCATTGTTACCCTAATCTTTGCCATCAAACAAGCAGATAGGGATTTTTTGAGGAGGAGGATCTCCTGTGGTAATGGTTTTAGCTGTTAACATTGACATCTGTATACTTCAAAAAAAAAAAAAGTATCCAGATCCACCCAGGATCATACATTCCCTGAGAGCTGATACATTAAAATAACAAAAGGCCCTTGTAATGATTCTCTGAGATAAAAAGGCAAAAGGAATTCAGGAGTTGAAAATAGTATAAATACAAGTGCCTGAAGGTCTTGCCTTTTAACCTCCTGGAAAAGAACTGAAGCCTTTAGATTCCAATTCAGGAAGGTAAAGGAAACGTTCTTCAGAAAGGTATGCTATTTTTTTGTCTTTTCTCTCAATGTGGATGGATTTCCTTCAACTTTAACAAGGAGGTCCTTTCTGCTACTTTTAAAAAAGTAAGTGCTTCCTTGTTTTAGTAGAAGTGAATTCAACTTATCTCCAGATGGACAATGTTACTAATCTCTGTATTTTTAAAGGCCTAAGGGATCCCCTTTGCTTTAACATGGGGGTACCTGCTGTGTAAAATAAAAGTAAGTGCTTCCATGTTTCAGTGGAGGTGTCTCCAAACCGACACTTGCTCTTTTTTTTGTTTGTTTGACGTAGGACTTTCAATTTTTGTTACAACTTAAGGATGTTTATGATTGTTTAAGTTTGTCAAGACTGGGCTCCCCACCACTTAAACGTGGATGTACTTGCTTTGAAACTAAAAAAGTAAGTGCTTCCATGTTTTAGTGATGGTGAGTCTTCTTTTTAAATTTCTACATGACTTCAAGAGCACAGAACCGACTGTAAAGGGACCCCCTCTACTTTAACATGGAGGCACTTGCTGTGACTTATACTAAATAAGTGCTTCCATGTTTTAGTGTGGTGAATCCTAACAGAAATCTTCAGTTGCTTTACACCCATGTTACATTATACGGTGAGGGCAAGTACTGGCTACGGGCCATTACTGTTGCTAATATGCAACTCTGTTCAATATACACTGGAATTGCACTTTAGCAATGGTGATGGAGTGTGTATGTCAATTGCCAACAAGTAACTAACATTTGTACCAGACTTACTTTGATAGTACTCTTAATGGTATAACCTCTTCTCCCATTTTATGTCTCTCTTTATGTTTTTTCTTATGCTTCCTTTTTGCTTTTAAGAGAGATCCATCTTTGATATCTCTGGTATCCTTTTCCTCTTCTGTAGAGACCTCTAAATCTTGACATATTAAAAATCATCTAGTTAGACATTTTGGATATGAAACGGTTACAGTGTAACCTTATTTTATATTATGATAATCTTGAAGTTTTACCTTTGTTTTCTTTGGTAACTTCTTTAACTTCTTTTTTAATGTTTTCTTTTTGAGTCAATTTTTTTACTTTAGATCTGGGAGCTAAGCATTCTGTGTCTGCGAAGGCACTCCTTTTCCTCTTCCCGGTTCTGACTTCAGGTAAGTTGGACACTTCAGCTTTTTCCCTTTTTTTCTTTTTCTTTGAGGGTGGCTTTTGTGCTTCAGTTACTTCTACATCAGACCCCTCAGATGTGGTCCTGGATCGTTTCAGTTTACAGACGTTCTCATTGCTTGTGTCCATGTTTGCATCTTTGGTCGGGACATTGTCTTCCTTCTTCACTCGGCCTTTCTTCTTTTTTTTCTTCTTCTTTTCTTCTGTAACAATGCCATCATTAGTTTTATTAAGCTGAAATATGAATATATTAAAATATTAAGCAAGTAACTTACCAGGTACTCTTAGAGCTGGAATGGGTTTATTTTTCACTGTCTTAGGAAATATCCCAGGTTTTCTTGGTGCCTCTTCTGGTGGATTGTTAAGAAACTGTAAAAAATGGTCACAAAATTTACTATATAACAAATCGCTAATTTTTTTGTGTTTTTCTCTTTTAGAATCTTGGACCTACCTCAATAGCTTTTGCTGCTTGTTCTTTTGTTTCAAATTCCACAAAGGCGAATCCCTTTGGGTCTCCAGTAGACTTATAATGTGGTATGCTTATATAAACAACATTGCCACATTTACCAAATACTCTTTCAATCCAGCTGTGATTAACATTTTTGGGAAGTAACTCCTAAAATAAATTGAAAGCAGTCATTATTAAAATGTAAAGAATTACATATTTTCTGTCTTACTTAGGAAAAAGCTCAATAAACTTTAAATATTAAAATGCTTCTGTGTCACTTTTTAACTGGTCACCTGGGCTTTGGAGTTTTTTCTACAATATGGCTTCTTACCACATACACTGTCCGCTCATCTTCATCCTTTGGTCTTTCACCTAGGGGCTTTTTCCTCCTGATCCTGGTGCCTTCTAAATCCAGCTTTTAAAAAAAAGCACATTAAATTAATAAACTGAATAAAAATAATTAGGAGATAATAAATTAAAATGAATCTTACCTCTACAACTGCTGAACTTTTCAATGCCCTGGCAATTAATTTACCATCAGTGGTCAATTTTTTCATTTTGTTAAATGACACAAGAAGTGATATATCAACATCTAGCAAGAAATGCAAAAGTAAATAAATGGTAAAACAAGCAACAAGGTAACTAACTGTCCCTCTATACTGGACATGGGTTATCACTCAAATTTTAACAAATGTCCATTAAAATTGGTAGTGACCAAAAGCTCCGATTTCCTAGACTGCACAAGATTATTGTAATTCTGGAAAAGGTGAGAGAACACTAGCTGAATTAAGGATACCACATGCATAATTATATCTCTGCATTCCCAACTCAAAAGATGAAGGAACATTATTAGAAAATCATTAAAAGACTATATACTAAAAGCTTAGTACAATAAAAAAGCAAGCATTTAGCCTTAGTGAAATGACCAAAAAAAAATAGTTGGAATTTATTAAAAATCATGCAATGGTTGTGTGTGGTTATATGAAATATTAAAAATAGATGGCCAAGAATTAAATTGTATGCTTTAATGAAGTAGGGGTGTGTGCGTGTGTGTATATATATCCACTACGTTTTGCAATACTGTACAAAGTTTGAACTTCGGGGAGTCCAAGAACTGGTTCCATTATTGAAATAAAACTTACATCCATCTCTAGATTTTTCTATCTGCTCTCGAAGAAATCGATCCTTGTGAAGATTGGCATCTCCAAACCAAAAGTCCACTTGCTTAGCAATATCTGCAAGGACCTGTTTAACTCGAGACCGTTTCTTTTTTTCTACATCTTTTTTCTTTTCAATGTTTTCCTCTTCCATTACTTTGTCTTGACTTCCATTTTCAGTTTCCATTCTTGTGAACGAAAAAAAGTATTTAAATTACCAGAGGTGATAGTTAAATATACAAGAACATTTAGACTGGCTTTTACTTAATTGTTTAAGGGAATTATGGCTGTCAGAAGATTTAAGTTTTTTCCAGGATAACACTTCCCAAACATTTTCCATAATTAAGACTTTCATTCACTGGCCTTGTGTTTTTTCTTAGAGCTCCTTCCTCGTTCACTTTTCATAAACCTTGTTTTCACTTTTTAAATAATTTTTCTCCTGTGTCATGGATCAGGTTTTATATAGTCTTTCATGTCTTTTAAACTACAGTCTCACAAAACTACACTAGTAAGTCAGTAAGCTAAACAAGAGCAAGGGACTCAGTCATTCCCCACCTCAACAAAGTTTTATATACATGAAGGAAATAAAATATTGATTCTCGATTTTTATAAACGTTAATTTCTGTTTACTGGAAGCAAAATTCAACAGCTAAATTGAAGATTCAGCCTTCACTTTTTCAGGTGGTGCTGCCATCCCAGTGTTCACAATTCCCAACTTCCTTTTTCTCCATTAAAGGGAAGGCATTACTTTGCATGCCTCTTTTCTCTTGCCTCCCTCAGCTCCAGCCATGCTGGTCTCCTTGCTGTTCCTGAAACTCACCAGGCAAACTCAACTGAGGGCCTTCTGAACTTGCTGTTCTTTCGGGAACACTTACCCCAGATAACATGCAACATGCTCACTCTCACTTATTTACAAACTCTGTTCAAATGTAACCTCAATAAGGTTTTCTCCCACAACTGTATTTAAAACTGGAAACTTCTGGACAAACAGACACTCTGAATCTCTCGTGTCTTATTTTCCCTAGCATTTGTCACCTTCTATCATTACTACAGAGCCCTGGTGGCACAGTGGTTAACAGCTCAGCTGCTAACCAAAAGGCTGGCAGTTCGAATCCGCCAAGCTGCTCCTTGGAAGCCCTAGGGGGCAGTTCCACTCTGTCCTACAGGGTCGCTATGAGTTGGAATAGACTCCACGCCAACAGGGTATCCTTACTATGGAGTCCCTGGGTGGTGCAAATGGTTACCTCGCTTGGCTGCTAACTGAGAAGTTGGAGGTTCAAGTCCACAGAGAGGCACCTTGGAAAAAAGTCCTGAAAATCGACTTCCAGAAAAACCAGCCATTGAAAACCCTAGGGAGCACAGTTCTACTCTGACACACATGGGGTCACCATGAGTCAGAGTTGACTAGACAGCAACTTTAAAAAAAAAAAACATTACTATAAATTTGTTTATTGCTTATCCTTCCTAGAATGCAAGATGTATAAAATCAGAGATTTTTGTCTGTTTACTGATGCATCCCCAGTGCCTGGCATAGTAGTCACCCAAAAATTTGTTGAAAGAATTGCGTTATTTTACTTGAATCACGAGAAGAACATACAAAAAAATGAGCGTATAAGCAAATGATTAACATCAGTCCTGGGATGATACAGGACTACCTGAGAATAACTTAGTTCTCCCATAATATGGTTGCCTTGGGAATAATAAAGATAAATGGGGATGGTTGTGTCTGTCTTCCTTGTTTCACCTGGGTGGGGACAGCTGGCATACAGGCCTTAGGTCTATGTAACCAAAACAGCATAAAAGACTGGTGGACAAAGGGGTTAAGCTAAAGTTTTTATGTGTCAACGTGACCTAACACACCTTAGCTCTTTTCTGTGGCTGCTATACATGCCTGTTGTGGGTAACGGGGCAAAAAGAAAAAAACAACGGTATAGATTTGGGTAACTGCTGTTCCTCTCAAAGAGATGAAGATGCTACAGCTGTTATATCTTCTGCCTCGCATTCTTTAAAGCACAGTATTAGATCAAAGCCTATTTGTGTCTCCTGAGTGACTGCCAGCTATAGCCTGTAACTACAGCAGTGATGACATAATGTCTTTTTAAAGTGATAAATTCAGTAAGACAGTACTGCCCTTAATGTAAAACCCACTGCTAAAGTTAACTGCAGCTCATGGCAACCCCATGTGTTACAGAGGAAAACTGCTCCACAGGATTTTCTAGTCTGTAATTTTTACAGAAGTAGGTTGCCAGGCCTTTCTTCCATGGCACATCTGGGTGGGCTTGAATAGCCAACCTTTCGTTTAGTAGCTGAACGCAAACTGCTCACCATCCAGGGACCACTAGGTGAAGGCCCTTAATGCACTTCACCTCAAATCTCAACTAAACATGTATGCTCACCAAAGTCAACAGAAGAGTCTTGACATTTTTAGAAAAACCTTTGGTTCATCAGCCAAGTACCAATTTTGAAAATATACACGTAATAAAATATTTAAGTTGATGTTAGCTGAACACACACAAATGCAGCTACACGTCAGAATCAATAATTAGAAAAATAATCAAGTGTCATTTAGTACTGTATAAACCACGTTTCTTGCCTCAAACTCTCACTTCAATCCCTCCTATCAGGCTTTCCTTTACACCATGCTAGTGAAACTGCAGACAAGATCATCAAGGTCCTCCACTGACATTTACAGTCATTTATAGTCAATAATGTCCTCCTTGAACACATTTTCTGCACATGGCTCTCAGGACAGTTTGTCTCCTGAATTTCCTTTTCTGGACCCTCCTACTCTGCTCTACCTTTGAATACTGCCTTATAACTGTACTTGGTCCTGGGCCTCCTTCTTACCTACGAGCTCATCTCTTGAGTCTCCCTGGCTTTAAATGTCATCTTTATGCTGATGTTTCACAAATCTATGTTTGCCAGCTCTGACTTCGATTTGTTCCTGACTCCAATATTTAATTGCCCACTTGACACCTGCACTTGTTTATCTAAAGGGTACCTCGAATTTAACATGGCAAAATCAGAACTCTTGAATTTTAAGAAATCTATTTCTTCCTTAGTTTTCCCCATTTCAGAAAACACTATTTATACAATTGCCCAGAGGGTAAAAACCTTGAAATCATCCTTCATTCCTCTTTTCCTTATACCCACAGCCAATTCATTAGCATTTCTGTTTGCTCTACCCTCAAAGTATATCCTGAATATGTACCCTTTTCATCTCTTCCATCACAACCACCTGGTCCAGTTTACCATCGTGTCTGGCCTGGACTACTGTAAAAACCAAAAACAAAAAAATAAAAACAAAAAACCAAACGCACTGCGATCGAGTCAATTTTGACTCATAGTGACACTAACTGGACCAGGACTACCACAGGAACTTCTTAATGGGTCTGCAGCTTCTACTCTTCACTTATAATCAATTCTCCATGTAACAGTAAAAATAATCATTTAACATTTAAATGGGATCCTGTCAACCCCTGCACAAAATCCTCCAAAGGATCACAAACGGAGTAAAATCCAAAGTCTTTACTGTGGTCTACTAGGCCCTATTTGTCTGGCCCGGGATAATCATCTCCTACAATTCTTAACAGCAGGCTAACTCTAGCCACCTCATACCACCTTTCTGTTCCCTAAACATGCTAAGGCCATTCCTACTTTTTGCTCTTGCTGTTCCCTTTGCTTTCTCTACCGCATTTGTAATAGACGACTTCCTTGTTCATTCATGTCTCTGTTCAAATGTAATTTCTCAGAGAGGCTTTCTCTATTACCTAATCTAAAATAAAATAGCTCCCTCCTTGCCAACCTTAGCCCTACCTATCCCCTCAATCACCACTTTCTATCCTTTCATCCTCTTATCATTACCTGGAATTATAATTTTATTGTTTGTCTACTCCGCTAGAATGTAAACTCTGTGAGGGTAGGAACTTTGGCTTGATCACTAAGTACTTGTTGAATAATTAAATAAATACATTTACAAGTAAAATGTAAAGTGTTAAGCCTTTCAAATTCTCTTGTAAGGAGGTCCGATATAAACAAAATACAAATGTAGGGTATGATTAGCACTATACCTGGCTCTGTTGCTTATTTTCCCTCCAGAAAACCATAAATCACAAAGGGCAGACTGCCAGCTCTTCAAATCCTTTCCTGGTCAAAGCCCACCATGTAAGGAAATAGGGGGCAGAACTGCATAAGTACAGAAAGTCACAATTCTCCCAAAAACAAGGCCTTTCCCTTCATTCTTATATCTCAGCCCAGAGAGCCTGCTTCATTTCTTCTCCTTACTTTTGTGGCTTGCGTTATTTTTAAGTTCAGAAACTCTTGTATAGCATGCATGAAGTACGTCTGCAATTTGGATCTTAAAAAATATATTCTGCACATAGTTTATAAAGAAAATGTTCTACATTCTGCTTTGGCGAGTAGCGTCTAGAGTTTTAAAAGCTTGTGAGTAGCCATCTAAGATACTTCACTGGTATCACTTCGTCTGGCGCAAGGGAGAATGAAGAAAACTAAAGACACAAGGGAACGATCAGTCCAAAGACTAATGGACCACAAGTACCACAGACTCCGTCAGACTGAGTGAGTTCACCACAACTAGATGGTCCCTGGCTACCACCACCGACTGCTCTGACAGGGATCACAATAGAAGGTCCCGTCCCATTCAGAGCTGGAGAAAAATGTAGAACAAAATTCCAACTCACAAAAAAAGACCAGACTTACTGGTCTGACAAAGACTGGAAAAACCTGAAAGCATGGCCCCTGGACACCTTTTAGCTCAGTAATGAAGTCATTCCTGAGGTTCACCCTTCAGCCAAAGATTAGACAGGCCCATAAACCAAAACGAGACTAAATGGACACACCAGCCCACGGGCAAGGACAAGTAGGCAGGAGGGGACAGGAAAGCTGGTAATGGGGAACCTAAGGTCGAGAAGGGGAGAGTGTTATGTCTTGGGGTTGGCAACCAACGTCACAAAACAATACGTGTATTAATTGTTTAATGAAAAGCTATTTTGCTCTATAAACCCTCATCCGAAGTACAATAAAATAAAAAAAATATGTTCTGCAAATGATCGAATATACCTTCAATTTAAAGAAAAATATGGATTAAGCAGAAAGTAACATAAGAATGGTACAATTTAGCTTCTCGGGGGCAGTTTCACTATGTCATATAGGATTGCTGTTGAGTATAGCATCACTCTGAGTCAGAATCAACTCCATGGCAATGGGTTTTCATTTTTTTTAAAGAGTCAGAATCAACTCAATGGCACACAACAACATCATAATGACTAAATAGGATCAGGAAGTTACAAGGCAGTATTTTTGTCAGTCTTGGTCTGTAAAGTCTGCATTTTTTCAATGTTCTGTGATAACAAATGTGTGAATTGTCATTCACGGACAAATCAAACTAATTATCTTCCCTCCCCAGGCCTAGTCCTCCTTCCACCACTCTCATCTTATTTAAGGATGCCACACTCTACTGAGCTAACCAATCAATCTACCTATTGACTAGTTGTGTGAATCTTGGGCAAGCTTGCCCAAGTTACCTCGTCTCTCTGTGGTCTATAAAATGAGGACAAACATCATTCTTACCTAATAGGGTTGTTGTGAGGACCAAAAAAAGGCACATACAGCGCTACAAACTGCTGTTACATACTAAGCACTTAACGGATTATTATCATTTACAATTTGTCTCTATATTCTATCAATTCAACCTCTGAAATGGTTCACATTTCCATTTAGTGCTCTCCATTACTACTGTCACTATAATATGGTAAGGGGACAGTTTACATAAATTGTTCTCGAAGTCATCCATCCTTGTGCAACTTGTCTAAAACACAGATCTGATTTTTGACTCTACTGGTTCTTTGATGTCAACCTCAAGTCAAAACTTTCAACATTAGAATTCCTTAGCACCCTCCTGTAACAAAATATATAAATCTAATTTTTCTTTCTTTTCTCCCTTTTTATTTTTTGTTAAATGAATTAGTGGCATCCAACTGGCTTCTAAATGGAGACTTTAAACAAACAATAAAAAGTTACTGTGTAACAATGCCCCTAACCCATTGCCGTTTAGTGGATTCCAACTCATAGCGACCCTATAGGACAGAGTAGGGTTTCCAAGGAGCCGCTGGGGAGTCGAACTGCCAACCTTTTTATAACTTCCTGCATTTTGCCACCACGCACTCTATATTCTAATCCAGGGATTCTTAAACTGAAGTCCTTGGAACTTCAAACGGATTTCAAGAAGTATCATCAATTCCATGAAAGTGTTAAAAGAAAAAAAATTTTAAAGAATCACGACTCTTGTAAAAATACAATACAAATGAATATAAATACATATAAAAGATTGTACTTCAATAATTAATGAAGGAGCCAAAAACAAACAAAAACCCATTACTGTCTAGTCGATTCCAACTCATAGCAACCTTATAGGACAGATTAGAACTGCACCAGTTTCCAAGGAGCGGCTGGTGGATTCAAACTGCCGACCTTTTGCTTAGCGGCCGAGCTCTTAATCACTGTGAAACCAAGGCACCAAAGAGGAAATAGGTGTTAATAAGCAGTTCAAATGAGAATTCAAAGAGCTGACACATATATACGCAATTAGGAATGATGAATTAATTTGTTAATAGATGCGAAACTGATTAATCAGGGCAATAATTAAACTTGCATCTCCGCTGGACAACACTAATTTGCATTATCAGTTTTCTACAACTTACACAGTAGTAAAATAGTTCAATGACAATGAAAGGCATAGGTGGAAGGTGAACTAAACAGGTACTCATTAACTATTTTTTTTTTTCCATTTCAAAGTTTTTCAATTTTTCCTGACAAAATTATATGCAAAGTGTTCTGAAACGTAAACATGCACTTTTCCTGGGGGGCTTATTCATACCTTTTATCACATTTTGATAAGCATTGCTGTGCCAATAAATGTTAAGAACTATTGTTAGTAAGAACAATGGTCCCTAAACATTTTCTTGTCTTTGTGCCCGTGCCTGAAATGACTCTTCTGGCCTTACTTGCCTTTAAACACCTGATTCAACTTCCAAGGCCCCAGGTAAAACGTCATCTTTCTCTTTATGGTCTTACATCACCCCTTCTCCCCTAACTGACTGCTTCCTCACCTGCTTTCCCTAAAGATCTTTATTAGCATTCAGTACACTGTACTTAATCCCTGGATGGTGCAACCTGTTAAGTGCTGACTACTAACCTACAGCTTGGCGGCTCAAAACCCAGCCAAAGGCCTCGGAAGACAGGCCTGACGATCTAATCCTAAAAAGTCACGGCCCTGAAAATCCTATGGAGCATTACTAGTCTGCACACGAGATTGCTGGACGGAATCCACTCAAGAGCAACTAACACCACCACACTGTATGTATCATTTATTATTTGTTAGCTTCTTTTCATAACTGGATTTTCAACTGTTTGGGACAAGACTGTTGCTGTTAGATGCTGTCGAGTCCATTCCGACTCATACCAAGTCACTACATTTTCCATCCTCTAGCAACCGAGGTCAAACCCCAATCTCCCGAAATAGGCACTTTCCTTATTGCTACTTCCTCTCTCGGAACCCGTACTTCCGCAAGAATACCGCCACATGCGAGGCGTGCCCCAAACCTCCCAACGGCGGACAATATGCGCCCTCACACTCTGAAAACTGGAACTACAAGGGCAAGCCAGAGGACATTTGCGCACGCGCACACAGAAGTAGGACAAGGGCGCTGATGGGTTCGTGGGAGAGGGGCGGGGTGATAAGGAGGACAGATTATAGAATGGACCGCATGAAAAAGGACTGAGAGGAATTTTAGACCTCACCCAATCTGAGCAATCCTATAGGCCACTTGTAACTTACTCGGCTCAATTCCCCAAACACAGGGTCACAAACTGCGTCCTTCAGCCTTTGCCGCCTTCCGATCCTTATAGTCGTGCTTCTTTTGGCGTCATAGCGTGAGCGACACGGTTCTCCTGTTCCCTTCGAGAAAGACGGGCCCGGAGGCTGTGCGCCTGTTGTTACGTCAGAGGCACGGGCTAGCTTCCGGCGGGCGGGACATCGGAAAACACAGCCGGCTGCGAGGCTCGTAGCCAATGAAGAATTTGATTGGCAGTTTGAAAAAGGCGGTTCTAGTTGAGGTGGAGGTGGGCGGGCAAGTATTGGGTCCTGATCTGGTGTGGTCCCGGGTTAATGACGTCACGCCCTTTCGCGGGAGAAATTCGAAAGTGGATTTGTGCAATGGGGCCCGTGAAGTGAGCTGTTTCTTGGGGTTTTCGGGGAAGGAGGAGTGGATAGGCAGGGTGACTTAAGCGAGAGGCTGCGTGGCTGTTTTGAGACCAAGGGACGGAAGAATCTGTTCCGCAAGAAGCGGACCGGGAAGGAAGCTGCTTGGGGGTGGGTGGCAGTCACAGCTTGCTCTGATTGCCTGTAATAATTGGTGCCTCGTCTTCACCGCTTTTGCCAGCCCTGCTTTGCAATTCCTGCATACTTGTGAGGACCGGGGAGGGTTTGATGTTTGTTTTTAGGACGGACAAAGGGTCAAATCTCCATTGTTGTTTGGTTACACAGGATCATGGTTATTAGAGCCTTGGGAAATGAAATGTGGGGTTCTTTTGGTTGTTTGGACTGAATGGTTTCTTAACAGTTCAGTGACCAAGAAACTTCTTGGTGTGTGAACTATTTAGTGTTCCCAAAGATCCTGCAATCTTCTGCATGTATCAAAACAATAGGACCAAGAACATCTCGTCGTAATTAACAGGAAAATCGGCTCCTGTTTTTCTGAGAACACCAAATTGACACATATGTACATATATATTATATAGTATGTGTGTATATGTTTGTGTATATGTATATGCGTCCCTGTACATATGTAATTACCACAGAACATCTGGAGCTCTCCACACCACTTAAACTTATTTGGAACGTAATCTTTCACCCACTAGAGATGGGCCAACACTTGAAGTGTCTGACAGATGTGGGTTGATTAACACTTTGTGAAAATTTTTTATCCTTACATCTCACATAAATATATGATGCTGTAGTATAAAATAATTTTTCCTGTTGAATGGTAGGAAAGGGATGTTTACTCTCTACTGAATGTAGGTATTAGGGCTCTTTAAAATGTTTTCTAATCCAATTACCCTTTTTTTCTGAGTTTTAATCTTACAATCTCATTTACTATTTATAAGAGTTTTTGAACCGTCCTTTAGTTCCTTTTAAATTGTAAATCCTAGAAGAAATTTCACTAATTTGGGAAAACAATGGGAAATTTATCTTATAATTCCTAAATAGTGTGTAAGTAACCCTAAATTAGTAACTACTGGATTCCTAATCTTAATCATAGTGACAATATGACAATATCTACTCTTCAGGATTATGAGACTGATAAATATTATATGTAAAGTAGCCTAATTCCTGCCAGCACATAGTAGCTACATGATAAATAGCCATATTTGTGAGTATGAGTGCAAGTTTAGGCTACTTGGTTTTGAATTCTGACTCTGCCCTTTATTTACTTCTGTAGTTACTTAATGTTATGTACCTCAGTGTCTTTTTTTGTAAAATGGAGATAAAAGTAATACCTACACCGTAAATGTTGTTGTAAGCATTGAAAGCATTTTTAGCAGTGTCTAGTGTATAGTTGCAGTGAATAAATGATAGCTATTATTAAAGAGACCTAAGATTAATAATTACCTCATGCCAGGCACAGTGCCTACAGTCTATAGTCTCATCTACATACACAGAATGTCTAGCCCATTCAGTGGCTGGGAGCAAGGTGCTGTAAAAGTACCAGCTATTAAGTGTTTCTCTCTACCTCTATTATTTTCCTAGCATTCTGGCAATTCTTGTGAGCTAAAGGAGAGGGATATAGGAATGTGGGAGTTATATCTTTGAAAGGCAGTGCCTCTGAATCCTGTCCTGTGACCTGTGTCCTGGAGTAAGTATTCATATCTCATTTGGCTACTCTTATGCTGTCCTTTCTTCACATATCAGCCAGTGTGATCTTTATAAAACCCAAATCAGAGTATGTCATTTTATTTTTAAAATCCTGCCATGGTTTCCTATTATTGTCATAGGAAGTCCAAACTCCTCAGCCTTCTGACATATAATGTCAGACATATAATGCTTTCTGAATCCTATTATTGCTTACTTTGTCAGCCTCTTATCCAACCACTCACTGTCTTACACCTGACCTCTTAATTGTACTACTTAGAGTTCCCTGATTTTGCTTTGTTGTGTTGCCCTTATCCCTTTGCACATAGCAGTTCCTGTCTGGAAAGAGCTTCCTTGGCATATTTTTTTGGTTAATGGTTATTTCCAGGCGCAGCTTAGACATTGCCTCCTTCTGGACCAAGTTTGGTGCCCCTCCTGTACTTATTCCTTTCATATTTTATTGTAATTACTGCTTATTTCCCTGCTATACTGAAAATTCCTTGAGATCAGCAATAGTATTTTGTTCACTTTTGCATCTCAGCTTAGCACATGGTAAACCAAAAAACCAAACCTTTTCCGTCTAGTCAGTTCCAACTCATCGTAACTCCATGTGTTACAAAGTAGAACTCCATAGGGTTTTTTGGCTGTAGTCCTTATGGAAGCAGATTGCCAGGCGTTTCTTCTATGGTGTCACTGGGTGGGTTTGAACTGACAACCTCTAGGTTAGTAGTTGAGTACAAACTGCTTGTGCCACTCAGGGACCTCTGGCGCATAGTAAGTACTGAATAAATATATGTAATTTGTAAGTAATATACGTTGTTGTTTGCCGTCAAGTCAATTACAATTCATAGTGACCCTATATGACTGCGTAGAACTGTCCCATAGGATTTCCTAGGCTGTAGTCTTTATGGAAACGGATCACCAAGTCTTTTCTCCTGCAGAGAAGCTAGTGGGTTTGAACGGCCAACCTTTTGCTTAGCAGCCGAGCACTTAACCACTGCGCCACCAGAGGTCCTTAAATAATATATATAGGTGGCATGTTTTATATATTTTATATGTATAAAAGAGGAACTGAACCCATAATCTCAAATTATAGCTTTATCGGATCCTCTTAGGACTTTAACAGCCATGTTCTCAAACTTAAGCAAGCAACAACATTACCTGGAGGGCTTGTTAAAACATAGACTACTGGGCCCCAACCCCAGGTTTTCTAATTCAATTGGGTAAGGATGGGGCCTGAGAATTGGCATTTCTTTAAGTCTAAGGTGTGTCTCTTATAGGCAGCATATAGACAGATTGTGTTTTTTAATCCATTCTTCCACTTTCGTCTCTTTATTGGTGCATTTAGTCCTTTTACATTCAGCGTAGTTATTGATAGGTATGAGTTTAGTGCTGTTGTTTTGATGTCTTTGTGTGTGGTGTTGACAATTTCTTTGTTCCATTTAATTTTCTGTGCTAAGTCGTTTTTCTT